TGGGAGACAGGCTTGAACCTAGGGTGAAAGTCTTATTGACAGCCATACAGCAGGCCTGAGGCAATGGCCCAACCGTTGGAGCCACAAGGAATGCCTTGTGACATTTCGCTCCCATTGGCAGATCATGAGACTGATGCTTAGAACTCACCACTCCCTAATCACCACCCTTGGAATCAAGGTATCCTACCTGCTGTACTGTGATAGGCTGCTAAACCTGTTATTCTAATAAGGTATCCTACTTGCTGTGCTGTGATTGGACCACTACCCCTATATAAGCTTGTGTCTTCCTGCAATAAAGCAGACCTGTTGACACTAAGTCTGTTATGCTAGTAAGGTATCCTACTTGCTGTACTGTGATAGAACACTAAACCTGTTATGCTAATAAGGTATCCTACTTGCTGTGCTGTGATTGGACCACCCTTATATAAGCTTGTGCCTTCCTGCAATAAAGAAGATCTGTGTCACTGAATCTGGTCTCCTTTGTCTGAATGCAGCTCCACTGACAAAGTCTCCTCACCAGCCCTGGGGTCCGGGACCAGGCAAAAGCAGCAACAACAGAAGGTGGCACTGGGCTAGCAGAAGAGTGGCCTCAGCCCAGGGCAAGGGGAGGAGCTGCTTCAATGCCTGTGAGAAAGAAGGAGTGGTGCCTGTGAGAATGGAGGAGTGGCCACCACTGGCGGTGACCGCAGCTGGCGTCCAACATGGGGCTCAAAAAACCTGACCCCACAAGGCTGTAATACTTGGGCTGTAACACTTTGGGCATCTGGTGCCCTTTTTGCTAGTAATCCTTGCATGGGTGCTCGCCGCTTTCATTCTCTTGGCTCGCTGTCTTTGTTTTAGCCTCTCATTCCTGTCTCCGCTGATCATCTTCCTGAACATCTCCTAAGTCCTTCTGAGTATGTCTTACAGGGTGAGTGACCTCCATTATGGGGAATAGTCATTCAGCTGCTCCGGCCCCTGTGCTGCTGCACTGGTTTATCTCCTCAGGAATAGGCAAATTAGAGTAACAGAGAAGGAAGTATCTAAAGTATTGGATGAAGTACTAGCTCTTGCTCCTTGGTTAACAGATTCCTGCTGTTGGGATCCAGAGCAATGGGCTTGTGAACTATGCATGGCCAGGAAGAGAGAAGTCAGGGAGGGGTGTCCATTATCTGGGCCGTTCTACCCAATTCTGACTGCCATTCTGGCCTCACTTCAGGGAGTTCCCCCCCTGATGCCCCTGAGTAGAATAATCTCATACTACAAAACATAGATAAACAAACAGAGCAACAGGCTAATGGAGATGGCCTGTCCCAGGCATTTCCAGTCAAAACCGAACTAACCGATTTCTCTTCTGATGCGGAAATGATGATTGCTGACAATAATTAGGTAAAAAATGAGGAATTAGGGTCCGAGGGTCCTCCTGATGAAAAACAGTAAGTCAAGATCACCCCTGCCCCACCATTACCAGGTGGTGGCTACCCTCCACCATCTTGTATTGGCTTTGAGGAAAAATTGGAAGTTAAGGCAGCCTTCGTTCCGCCATTACGGGGCCATGGCTACTTTCTACCATCTTGTACTAGCTCTAAGGAAGTTTCCCCCCAGTCCATCTACCCCTCCCTTCCAGAGGAGGACTGGAAGCCCCTCCTGCCTAGGCCCTTCTCCTATGATACAGTGGGTGATTTTCCAGTTTTTCCCAATTACTGTCAATCAGGGACTACAGAACCCTAATGTCTGGAATCCATATTCTCATGAAACTTTAAAAAAGCTGTGTAAGGCAGCCATTGAGGATGGCATTCATTCCCCTTGGTTTTGTCAGGTATTAGATACAATCAGCCATGTGGCCAACACCCCCATGACTGGCAGAATATTGCCTATGCCTGTCTACTGGGAGGTGATTTTCTCTTATGGAAGGCTGCTCATCAGGATGAATGCGAACAACAGGCAGAACACAATAGAAATGCCAATGTCCAAAACTTTGGGTTTGATACCTTGGTAGGGCATGGCACTTTTGAAACCCCAAAAGCCAAGGCACAGGGACCTCCTCGCTACTTTGAACAAGTGCAGCTTTGCGTGCTCCATGCTTTCCCAAGTATGTCAACTCGTGAGGATACCAAATTAATCAGATTGATACAAAAACCAGGTGAGCCTTTCTCTAACTTCATTGAAAGGTTCCAACAAAGCATTAATAGGAAAATCATCCATCGGGGGCCACTGATGCTTTGCTCAAGGATCTTGTATATGAAGGTTGCTTTACCAAGTGTCGCCTTACCATACAACCCGTTAGACACAAGGATGTCTCTGAATGGATTCTGGCCTGTCAGGATGTGGGGACCACTCAAGCTCATGCCACGGCTCTTGCTGAGGGACTGGCTGCTCACCAGCCACAGGCCAAGACAGACAAGCACAAAGGACAGGGTCATTGCTCTCACACCTGCCCTAACAAGATCTGGCAGATGGATGTTACTCACTTGCCTTCCTTTGGCAAGCTCAAATATATCCATCATATTATTGATATCTGTTGTTAATGCAAAGGCGAGGCTATGCTTGTGTCTTTCCAGATAATGTTCCAGCCCCCATTTATATCCTAGCTCAAAACATTAGAGTTGCCTGTGATGGAAAGCCTCCCTCCACAACCACCAACCCCGGAGATGACAGCCCTGACCTGGAGGAAACAGCACACCTCTCAACCACCGAGAGACTGACCCGGCATTGCAGACCATAAAAGCAACAGGCTCCAATGGCACACTGGATAACATGGGGCAACCTTAAGTATCTCACTTCGCAAGCAGAGACTATAGCCAATCAAAACCCTCAAACCAGAGGGAACTCCTTGTCCATGTTCCTTATAATTTGTGCCATCATCACTGCTAACTCCCAAATGTTAGCAACACCCCTTAACCCCCACTAACCCATCAACCTTACTTGATGGATTATTAATGTAGCCAATGAAAAGGAGGTATATTCCACGTCAAAATCTACACCCCCTGGCCAATGGTTCCCTGAACTACAGATGTACCACACTTTTGTCTGCCTTTATTGGTCCCCTTGCTTTGTTAACCCTTCTCCTGATTTTCAGACCCTGCATTGTTAATTTTGTTAAGCTAGTTCAGTTGGCTGTTGCCCCATCTCAACATCCGATCCCCTCAAATTCCCTTACTAAACTATAATTGGCTTTTTAAAAGAAAAAAAATGGGGGAGGAGATGTGGGAGACAGGCTTGAGCCAGGGTGAAAGTCTTATTGACAGCCATACAGCAGGCCTGATGCAACGGCCTGACCACTGGAGCCACAAGGAGCACCTTGTGACATTTGCTCACATTGGCAGATCATGAGACTAATGCCTAGAGCTTGCCATTCCCTAATCACCACCCTTGGAATTCCAAATTGCAACACTTAGATATGCAACAGTCAGGGTCACATGGTTTCCAAGAGTCCAGGCTCTATAATCTGAAACCCATTATACTAATGAGGCATCCTACCATTATTCTGTGATAGGACATTAAGTCTGTTATGCTAATAGGACGCTAAGTCTGTTATGCTAATAAGGTATCCTACTTGCTATACTGTGATAGGACACTAAACCCGTTATGCTAATAAGGTATCCTACTTGCTGTGCTGTGATTGGACCACAACCCCTATACAAGTTTGTGCCTTCGTGCAATAAGGCAGACCTGTGTCATTGAACCTGGTCTCCTGTGTCTGAATGTGGCTCTGCTGACACAGTCTCCTCACCAGCCCTGGGGTCGGGGACCAGGCAGAAGCAGCAACAACAGAAGGTGGCACCAGGTGAGCAGAAGAGTGGCCTCAGCCCAGGGGGAGAGGAGGAGCAGTCTCAATGCCCGTAAGAAGGAAGGAGTGGCATCCATGAGAATGAAGTAGCAGCCGCCGCAGGCAGTGACCTCACATTTCTTTATGTTTTGGTCCTGTTTTGTGTTTCTGTTATTATATCTTCCTTTGTTTTCTTTCTGTAATAAGTTGGACATTTTCATTCCTATCTTCAGTCCTTTGTATTGCTTTGAGTATTCTCTGTAGGACTGTTTTGGTGGACATGAATTCTTTCAGCCTGTTAGTGTCATGGGAAATTTTCTTTTCCCCTTAAACTATGCTAGATAGTTTTGCTGGAATAAGTATTCAGCATTGCCATCCATGGTCATTTAGAACTGGGAATATGCTGGTTCAGGCTTTTCTGGCTTTCATAGCTTGCACTGAAAAGTCAGCTGTAATTCTAATGGGTTTTTCTTTATATGTGACTTGTTATTTTTCTGTAGCAGCTTTCTGTATCCTCTCTTTGTTATGTACATTTAATGTTTCTACTATGATATGCAGTAGGGAGTTTCTGTTCTCGTCATGAGTAATTGGTGTTCTATGTGCTTCTCAAATCAGTATATGTAAGCCTTTCCTTAATTTAGCAAAGTTTTCTTCTGTAATCCTGTTGAAGATCTGTTTAATGCCACTGACCTGAGGACTTCTCCTTTATGTATGCCTATGATGCATAGACTTGGCCTTTTCATGTTGTCCCAGGTTTCCTGCAAAATGCATTCCTATGTTTTTAAAAAGGATTTTCATATGTCTTTACTTAAGGAGTAAAGATGATTAACTTTATTATCCAGTATTAATATTCTGTTTTCCATTTCATTTATTCTGCTTGTGAGGTGTTCTCCTGTTGTTTTTAAATTGGCTTAGTGAGTTTTTCAATTCCATGTTCATTTTGGTTTGGGTTTTCTTCAACATTTCTCTTTCTTTTTGAATTCACTTTTACATCATGCATTGTTTTTGATATATCATTAAGCTCCATATTTGTATATTCTTGAGGTACCATCACAAATTTATGCCTTTCCTCTTTGAGTTCTTTGTGTTGTTCATCTGTGTTTATGTTCTTTGATCATGTTTATAGCTGTTTTCTTAAATTCTGTGTTGCGAGATTCTTCAGGGTGCTTCTCATTGTAACACTCTTCTGTAGTAAATTGGGCAGTGGGGGCAAAGTCTTTTGGTTTTTTCTATTATGTGTTTTTGTATTGCCAAAATTATGAAACACTTCACAAACTTGCATATCATCCTTGCACAGGGGCCATGCTACTCTCTTCTGTATCATTCCAATCTTAGTATATGTGTTGCCAAATCGAGCACTACATTTCTCGTTTATACAGTTTTTTAAATAGTGTATTTTGTGATTTATATTTTAGATAAAACTAACAACCTTTATATGTTTTAAAGAGACATCTATTTAAATTTAATAAACTATTTTAGTTCATTTGTTTAATGTCTATACACAATCTCTTGAAACTCTGGTTTGATATTGCTCTTTAAAAGCTGGGAAGTTTTCTGATGGACTTAATAGGTTCCCTCAATTCATATCTTGAAGCTCTCAAGCAGAATGTAGGAAAGTGACTATACTTAGGAAAAATTAATGTTGCATAATATCATGAGTGGGTCTTAACAATATTATGAGTTAATTAAGGTAAAATGAAATTGTAAAACTGGGTCCTAATCCAACTGGAATAGAGTCTCTACAGAAAAAGGGAAAGCAAGAATGTGCACATGCTGTGAGTATGCAGTGTGAAGGCACAGCAAGGTGGACATATCCAACTCAAGAACCATGAACACAGAACTCTGGAGAAATTATCCCTTCAGAACACCAAGAAAAAATCTTATCTTCTGTGTAAGACTCCAGGTCTATAACTTTAAATCAACAGATTAAAATATTTCTCCTTTACTGTCTTCAATAATGAATGTGCTTTTCTATCTAGGGCTTTCATTCTCTCTAATTATGCATATGTTGGAGTTATGGACTCCTCTACATCTACTTTAATACATGTCCTATATAATATTATCATTCATTGTACACTGTATTTTCTAGTGGAAAATTCTCATTTTATCTTTTAGTATCTGCATCTACTCTTCTGTTATAGCAATTAGTTTTTAGTTTGTCTTTATGTTAATAATTTCCATTGGAATATTTTTATTTTACAAAGACCATGATTGTCTTATCAATATATTTTATCACAGTGATTATGACAAGCTGTCATATTACAACCTTTTCTAGAATCACTCATATTTCCCTGTTGGAAGAATACTAATTCTATTGCTATCTTATGAATGTATTTGTGCATGTGTGGATGCTTGTATGTTTGGGGTGCATGTGCACATGTATGTAAGTGAAGTGGAGGCTGGAGACTGATGCTAGATATCATCACCTATCATTCTCATATTTATTTTATGAGATAGGGACTCTCAGAGAACATGGAGTTCCCTGATTTGGCAAGGCTGTTTTGCAAGTCCCTGGGATCGTTTTGTTTACTCGCCCACTAATCTGGGATTACAGGTGCATATGCCAAGATCAGATGTTTGCATCAATGAAAGGATCTGAACTCAATTCATCATGTTTGCTTGGTATGCAAATTACTAACTGAAGCCATTATCCCCAGTCCCTTTATTGCTTTCACATTTGACTTTTATAAATGGCATTTGTGAATCTTCCAGAAGAAAACATGCTGGGCTGAGCAGATACACACAAGTTCTTTACCCTTAATCAGGAAACTTCTGCATTGGGAAGCTAATTTTTTCATTATAAACAAGTCCAGATCAGTGATTCTTTAAGAGTTAGCGCAATGATTATTGACTACAGTAGTACTCCAACTACCACTAATGGAAACAAAGCAAATGTTCATTAATATTTACCTCTCTTCCAACATCTATAAGAGGTAGATTGTTCCCCCCCGAAAATATTTAAGCATTAATCCTTAAAGCTTGTTAATACATTTCCTTACATAGCTGAGAAGCCATTGCATACTGTGATTAATGATCTTTGAGGTAAGTAGATTATCCAGGATTTCCCAGTTGGGGTTAACGTAATCACATTGGTCCCTGAAATCGAAGGTGCTTACCCTACAAATGTCAACCTGAGACATTCATTGTGATGACAACTTGACTGACCACTGCTGATTATAAAGACAGAGGGAGCAGGACACAATCAAAGGAACACAAGATCACAAAAGATACTTCTGAGGAAATGGACTCTCCATTCCTGCCTCCAGAAGAGCAAATGGACATGCTGACAGTTTAAATGTGCCAGTGAAGCCTGTGCTATGGTGGTCTCAACAGCCACTCTGACCACAGTCGCAGAAGGCTTCTCTATAGGGAGAAAGGGGGCAGGAATTTATGTATTTGAAAAGTTTTTTGATTCTTTTAATGTTTTTAGAAAATTTATATAAGGTAAAATAGGTACAATCATCTACACTATTATGAGGACATAGTAGATTTTTACTAGCTACATTCACACAGTATTGTAACCAATCTCTATCTGACAAATGGAGCATTACACTTACTAAGCAACTTTACATCTTTCCTTTACCCAGCCCATTAATGTTCATTTCATCCTTATGAATTTGACAATTTTAGATGTCCCAATTAAGCAGACCTGGAAAATGTTTGCCTTTTTCATGACTAGCTAACTAGTTAACACAGTGTCCTCAAGAGTTATCCATGGTATAGTACATATCAGGATTCCCTTATTTTATTTTTAAACATATTCTATTTATTATTTTATTTTATGTGTATAAGTGTATTGCCTGGATGTAAGTATACCCATGTCATGAAATGCCAGTGGAAGACAGGCACGGCCATCAGATCCTCTGGAACTGAAGTTACAGACTGTTGTTAGCTGCTATGTGGGTCCTGGGATTCAAACCCGTGTCTTTTGCAATCAAAACCAGTATTCTTAACTGCTGAGCCATTCTCCAGCCCCAAGAATTCCTTTTTAATTAGTAATATTCCATGGTATATATAGACATATTTTTTTCTTCCTTCATTGGTGTGTACCAAGATTACTGTGACCTTTTAGCCACTCTGAATGAATTTTTCAGACACACACACACACACACACACACACACACACGTAATGAAACAAGTTGAGAATTGAATATTACCTTCTGGGAAACATGTTTCTATAGCTCAAAGATTTGAAAATAGATACAGAGTTTTCAGATACTTGAAGGGACATCTTAAGTGAACTTAAAATAACAGTAGATTCCAAACCATGCAAAAAGAATAAGAATGTTAGTTTAACTTTTCAGGAGAATGGCATCTGGCTGAAGAAGATAAGAAAGAACTTTACACATTAATGGAAGATTCTTTCAGGGAATAATTAACCTGGAAGCTTTTATTTGGTTGTTTCCTTCTAAGATAATGGTGGTCTCAACAGTCACTCAGACCACAGTTCCAGAAGGCATATCTATAGGATTTTCTTATGAGATGTTCGTTGCAGGTATTTTTGCCCCACACAGAGAAAAGTTTAATTAATCCTGTAGTACTGGAATAGAGTAACAGAACTTACTAAAATGAAATGAATGTAAATGGGACACTGTGTAGTCAAACAGAAAGTGTATACAGTTCAAGAATGAACTTTAGTAAATGCACCAGCAATGTAATACGTATTTTTGTCTCCCTTTGCAGACTCTTATTTCATGATAATGCACGACAGATACTGCTACAATACCAACTAAGTTCTTAGGATTCAAAACATGCCATGGTGTCTAATGTCTTTTTTGTGCCCATACACCTTCAAATGCACATAGTTATATGGAAAGCAGAGCACAGAATTACAACCTTTCTCATCATGGAGAACAGTGATAGTTTGTCTTCCCTTACCCCTACCTAACTGCTCCTAATGGGAGCAATTTTGAGTAGATGATGAAATGAATATTGCACAACAAAAAGAAAATCCATTTGAAGGATAGTTTAACCTCATTGAAAGGTGATGCTACTTAAAACACATCTAGTGCAATGGGAATCATTCCTTTATTTTTAGGACTAAAACAACGTAAAGCATTGTTTGTCATCATTCTTGCCATTTCTGTATTGTGAGCCAACTGAATTGCATGGGGTGAAAAGTTTGTCAGAGTAAGTTCAACATCTTATTATTATGCCATACTAGAAATATTAATAACAAGCATTAACATCTCTCTACATCACCATCTTCATTCTTTTCATTTCCCTCCATTCCCCCTTCTCCCTCTGTACCTCTCTCTTTTCCTTATTTTTAAACTAAAGTGTTATGATGACTTGTTTTTGTTTTTTTAATAAGCCAGCAAGCTTTGGAAACAACCAGAATTTCTTTTTTCCCTTGGACAAGAAATATCTATAACCACACATAGCAGGTACTGAGAATACATGTATTTGATGTAACTACACATACAACTTCTGGGTTTTCAACAGCTATAAACACTAAGCATGTTGCCTGGGCCAAGGACAAGTGTTTGTACACTGGAAAATTCTTTATCTCTGATATTCCCTGAGGCTTTTCTTTCATCAACCAGTGTGTGTTGATCTCTGGACATCTCAAGTTCTGACTTTTAATTTTGAAAACCTTCTTTGTAATTTTTTGTGGTCTTTTCTAGGTTAATTATGTTCTTGACTAAAACAACCCTTCAGCACCAAATGATTAAAACGTCAAAATAGAGATGTTTACACTGCTCACCATGGAGCTGCCAGTAACTGAGCTTGCTCGTTGTACTCTGCATGTGGACAATGTTCACAAAATATGACCCACATGCATCTGCTCCAAAATGACAGAATAATAAAAGTAGCCTGAAGAGACGGAGAGTCATCAAATTCAGTCAGTATGTGGTTTATACTCCCTCACATCTCCTAGTATCTGGCATCTATTTATTGAAAAACTAAAGAAACTTTGCTTGACAAAATTATTTAATTTCTGGTTTTAAGTATTTGTTCTATTGTCTGATTTGAGAGAAAAATGATTGTTCATGCTTCACACTGCCAATTTTATGGATATGATATTTTTACAAAAGGAAAAACCTAGTTCTCTATGCATTTTGTAATGTACAGAATGAAACACCATTTTTTCTTCACCTGAAAGTATATTTTTTTTTCAGATCACTATATGTTATCTAGATGGGGAATGAACATTCAACAGCACAGCAAGTTAGAGTGCATGCAAAGATAATAATGGTATTGAAATGGTAAACCTGACTCCATTTTACATTAACTGACTTTTTGCTTTATCCTCTGTTTTTTTCCCAACCACCCCTCAGCTCGTGCTTGCTAACTGTAGCCAGCCAGTCAGAATGTCTCATGCTGACAATTTCAGGGAATTCGTTGTTTCTACAGTA